AGCATAGCGAAGTTAGTTCGCGTTGTTTCAGAAATCGGCAATAATGCTGAAAATTTAAGTTTTTCGTATAATACGGTTATGTCGTGAAATAAACGCACAGACCCACAAAAAAAGACCAGACTACTCAACTTAATGTTTTCGGGGTCGCTGAGTCCAAATATTGTGCCAGAATAGCGAAGCATATGAAGATTACAAGAGATAATACCATAATTAACTTAATGTTTTCGGGGTCGCTGAGCCAAATATGGCAATGCCAGAATAGCGAAGTTAGTTCGCGTTGTTTCAGAAATCAGCAATAATTCTGAAAATTGAGGTTTTTCTTATAATATGGTTTATGTTGTTAAAAAAACGCGAACCAACTTCGCTATTCTGGCACCATATTTGGACTCAGCGACCCTGAAAACACATTGTTCAGATAGGTCTAGGTATAGGTCTGGTCTTTCGCGTGTTATCAATGTATGGCTATAAGATGGGACAACATCTCCTTAGAGCTGTTCAAAAGAACTGAAGAATGTAAAGTGAGGCTGTAATAGACTCCGAGAAGGAATTTGGCATGTGACAGGAGAACCTCGACAAGCAGATGCTCGCCAGCATTGGCTGGAGGAGGTTGTGTGAAGGAGTTAATTATAGTAAAGGGAATATGAGTACGTAAGTAAATACAAACTCCACCCCTCGAGAGCCAGTGCCATTATTACGTATCAAATGGAAACCAGGTAAAGTATAGGATGAAGAGGGCAGAGAAGGTTTAAGCCAGGATTCGGAGACTAAAACAGCATAAAGGTTTATGTGGTTGAGAGACGCTAGCATATCAGTAAAATGAGCTGGAATATATAATAATTAATATATGTACATATATAACACAAAAAAATAAAAAGTTAAAACTAAGTAACAGTTGGAACAAAATAAGCACTAAATACTTAATATGCACCTGCCGGTTGAGTGGATAACATAGCACGCTAAATGAAATTATGTATGGAACCAATATACAAAATTGCATTTAAAAACCTATTAAAATATCAGTTTGTAACTTTTAAGTCTGTGGATCTTATTCAAATAGGATGGATAATAAAATAGTATCAAGTAATGAATGTTCAGTGGGTATGTTTTTGATAGGAGGTCGAATGAGTTCTGTTTGGACTGGAACTTCAAAATATCATGATGACAACTTTAGTTAAGGCAATTATGAATATCCATGTGCTATCGTCATCAGCCTATTAATGTCCCCATCGCTGGGGCACAGACCTTCCTTAAAGATGAAATGGAGATTAGATGAGATGGATAGATGAGATTTCCTATGGTTGGTATAGAGAGATTGGCCCGTGGCCAGTGCCCTAGCAGGAGCGACATTAAAAGGCTAATGAATATAATTAAAATAAGGTAAGATGGAAATTGCTATTATATCAATATTAAAATTACCACCATATTTTAACAATGTCAAAGATGTTACATATTGATTAGAAATTGTTTGTAATAAACTAAGAAAAAGCCGTATCCGCCTGAATGTGTTTACTTTATAGCCATTGCAAAATAAATTTCAATTAAATCTGAGTTCATTTGAATCATTCATAATAAGTACTTCAATAAATAATCGATAACCATTATACTCGAAAAGAATATCCCTTATAAATTTGTCGAGAGACGAGGATTTTAACTAAAAGGAAACAACGTATATTTCATGACCTTGATTACCCTGTTCAAACGCAAATAAATAACTATTCTATTCTACTCTACTGTACTCTACTCTGCTCGACTGTGCTCTACTGTGCTCGACTGTGCTCTACTGTGCTCTACTGTACTCTACCGTGCTCTACTGTGCTCTACTGTGCTCTATTGTGCTCTACTGTGCTCGACTGTGCTCGACTCCACTCTATTCTATTCTATTCAAGTGTGCAGAAACTAGTTTTGTTTGTAGTAATCTTGTAAATGAACAAAAATAGTGAAATTGTTATGTTTAGTTTACTTTAGCATGTTAATCTATACTTAACTCTGTAATACAAAGCGGTATACTTAAGAAAGATGAGCTCGATGGGGCAAGTGGTTAGCGCATACGGCTGGGATCGTTGAAGTTAAGCAACTTTCGCAGTGGTCGGTCATTGGATGCGTGACCAAAAATTTACTATCTCGAACTCTTCCATGCTTCGGAAGGCACGTTAAACAATATTAATATAGTGAAAGCTATGATTTAATAAAATAACACAAGATTACAGCAAAAAGGTACGGTTTTACCACTTGCTGTTACAATCTCTCATAGACTATTCAGAATTTAAAGCCGACAAAAAATGCTGGTTTTGCAGTGCGAATAGCATTATCTGTCAAATATTGTTTCCGCTATCAGCAACTTTAAGCTATCAGCTAGTATCATAATCATGGCTGATAACTATCGTAGGGGATTCTGTATAAATTCTCACTTCCAATTTCGGTAGCTGCCATTTTAGACATTAGTTTGATACGCATTATGCCATTACACGGCAAAATATCGCTGTGTGTGTAGAAACAGCCAGTATTAGATATTTGACATTTGTTATAAACGTTTACAGTTACACAATAAATATATATAACGGATTTGTTCCCCTTTTTAAAATTTCTATAAAAAAGCGTGACAGCATATTATGTCCATTTTTTAAGTTTGACTCGCTATACCTAACAATTTTCCTCAAATTAACGCGGGCCGAAACCACAGCGGACTTCAAGTTAGATAAAAAAAACATACTTTCGTATTTAATTATTAGATTCATTGGCGTACGATAAGCTATGACGTGCAAATTAGTAGAATCGAGACCTATTAATTAATAATAAATCAAATTAAGTATTAATTTCTCCATTCCCTTTGTTCAATAAAACTGATAAGTGACCGTAATAAATATTAAGAATACAAACCGAAACATTAGTATCGCCTACGCTTATTGCAAGATGCAGACGTTTCTGACGATCCTTTTGGTCGCTTTGTTTTGTTTCTCAACACATGGTGAGTTCATTTAAGAAATTAATTTAATATTTCTTTTTGTTTACCGCTTTTATTTATAGATGGATATTAAGTATAAACTTATCATCATTTGTTTTTCCAATCGTTAAATTCATTTTAGCACCAGATGAGTAATGTTAACCATACTTTAAAAGGTTACGTGTTTTGTTATTATACTGTATGTACATTTTAAGTTTGGTTTGCTTTGTTAAATTTTATAGCAATTTATATACGAAATGTAGTGATATAAATAGATCTCAAAGAACTCTTCGTTACCCTGATAAACTTGCTTATAGTGTTAGACCAAAGAGCAGTCTTTATTTGAAAAATTCTACAGCTATGTGCATCAAGGTATATAATGCTTTACCAACAGAATTTCTAAATCTTCCAGAAACGCGTTTTCGAACGATAAAGTCGTGGTTGCGGAACAATGTTTTTACTATGTAAAGAAAGTTTTTAAATTTATGTTTAAATCCAGTCTTAATAAGTGACAAAATAATTAAAATTGTAATTTTTATTCTATGCGTTATATGTTTATTGTAGTGATTTAATAATATTTTATTGCTTGATAATTTGACATGTGTAAATGGAATAAATGATTTGAAGTTTTATGATTGTAAATTAAACTTAAATTATAACTTATTTTAAATCAATAATAATATGGATTTTTTGACATGTATAATGTGATGATATATGACGATTAATTGACATGTTTAAATGAAATTGTTGTTTTCATTTGGTTGACATTAATGTGACTAATTACAACATTAATATACATTGGATTTATCATAAAACGATTTGATATTTGCATGGTAATTTAGCGAATCATATTTGAGAAACATATTTATTGTAACATCTGTTTATATTACCTTTCTTGTTAGTAAATATGTAAATGAATAGGCGCGGGTAAGGCACCTTGCGCACTAAACGTCCACGACCACGACCAGTGCACGCAACGACCAAATTAACTATAGCTGGCTATTGCGGCTAAGTGCGCGCCGTTTGTATAGTATTTTGTTAATTTGGTCGTTACGGCCACTGGCCGTAGTCATGGCCGTCTAGTGCGCGAGGTGCCTAACACAGAAAAGACGTGAGACGCTGACGAGGCGTGATATTTCTTCCGTGCCCTTTTCATACAAAACATATAGAAGCGTCGCGTCACAAAACACACCTTTTGAAAAAACAGGACGCAAACAAAACTTCTTTTAAAACAGACTTTAAAAAAAGATGTTCTCAGTTTGACCTGTATGTATGAATGTTGGTATGTATGTTTTTCCGTGATTATGTCAAAAACTACTGAACCGATTTAGATGGAGTTTTCGGTATATAAATGCGTATTTATCAGGGAAGGTTTTAATATATAGTATACTAGTAGTGACCCACGGTTTCACCCTGTATTCCGTATTACAGTAAAAATTGTTTCTTTTGTTATTAAAAAGAGAACCGACTTCATAAAATATGAAAAACTAGTCGTAGATGTATTTGAAGTCGATACAAAGCCATTTGTTTATCAGGGAGATCATGATAATGGTATCGACTTCAAATATATCTGTAGTCGTAGATGTATTTGAAGTCGATACAAAGCCATTTGTTTACCATCCCGGGTTCGGGAATACTAGCATTTCTACTCCAGTCATGGATGTTTCATATGGATTTCTATAGAAATATACTTATTTATGTACTGTATATGTATTCTATTCGTTACTCTAGTCTAGTATCCCATAACACAAGCCTTACAGTGCTTACTTTGGAGCTAGGCTAATTGGTGTATGTTAGAAAAATAAAATATCTGTGTTTTAATCTTATTTTTCCATTTTCAGTTTTATTGAAGTCGCTTATCTTTAAAATATTTGTTTTTTACGTTTTGTATGAAACTGACATGTCGCCGCTACGTATTTTCTGTGTCCCACGCCTTACAATAATCTAGTCTTCGCCTATTGTTTGAGGTTGCCATTCACTCAGGAGTTAATTTTTCAATTATTAAAATCTTTGCTGTTTTGGAACTACTAATACAACTATAGCATATGGTACTTTGCAGGTGCCAAGAATCAGTTTCGATGTGATTACACATACGTTCCAAATGCGGAAGGGTGGTTAAAATACCACGAGATTCCTTCAAATTGGAACGAAGCCCGATTGAGATGTCACATGGAAGGTGAGAACAATGCCAATTTATGGTGTTTCTTACTACATATATTAAGATTTTGTATGTATGTTCAGTACAATACTTTGATACCTGTTTCCTTCTAACTAGGTGCATATTTAGCTTCACCGCTAAACAAAAACCTCCAAGACGCAATGACAACAATGATGAACGATAAAAAAACAAATTGTGCAGTGTTTACGGGCATACACGCTACATTTTCGAGAGGAGATTATGCTTCTGTAGAAGGTATGTGTCCGAAAATTTAAACTTGTTTGAACATGGCCGAATCAAAAACTGTTTTCACCAGACCTTTCTTCTGACTACTTCAATTTCTGCAGTTCGGATACCAATTGACAGGAAGAATAGGGATAATGTTTTTTTTTCTATTCGTCCATCAGGTGCATTATCAAAAAGTAGTGGACAAGTATTTTTTCTTTAATCACATAATCGAAACATCACGGCGTGACGTCACAAGTCCCGCTCCAAAAGATTTTCACGCTTTGTAATTTTTTGGTTGATTGACAAAAGAAAAAATAGATGTCGTGTCCATTATTTTCCGATAATTTAACTGACGGACTAAATATAATTTATTTAAATTTACCCTGTCATCGTCCCTATTAAATATTCAAGGAGCAGTACAAAAGTCTTTTTAGAATTGTTTGGATACCATCGAATTCACTTCTTTAAGAAGAGCATTAATGAATTGCCGCATTCCTAGCAAAGATATATAGCTTGGGCGAATACTTTGTTAGATGTATATAAAAAACAACCAATAAAAATTACCACTCATTACCGCTGACGAAAAAAACTATTATTATATAAGGCTCAACTCACACTGGCGCAGGGCCGAAGGGACGAGCCGCCACGCGTTTCGCCTGTATGAAATTCATTTCTATTTTGCTATTACTTATTTCCACTTAAACGACACACGACGACGGTCGCCGATGCACGACTTCTTATTACCAAGTTTCATGTTTTTCGTCTATAGCAAATTTATCTCTATTTTCCCACTGTTAAGGTATACCAATGGCGAAAAACATGACGCGACACGCCTCTTCGACTCTGCACCGGTGTGAGTTGAGCTTTCTTTTATTTTTTATCATGACAAGAATACTGATATTATTGGCATTCGTCAATGCCTTAAAATAATAACAAATCATTCATTTACGTGTAAAATGTAAAAACTTATATTTTCGCAGGTGTACCATTATCGAGAATACCTCATACATGGACGAATGACGAACCTGATAACTATCAGGATAAAGAGAATTGTCTGATCTTATTGCCCGATGGGAATATGGGCGATGCTAAATGCTCAGATACATTCCCTTACTTCTGTTACAAGAAGAAAACGCCGACAGTCATCACTAGTTGTGGCACCATAGATCCTGGTATGTTTGCTCCATTAGGTTGTTTTACTTTCACATCATTTCATTCCGGGTAGAATAATAGGGAATAAAGGAAATCAAATTCTATGAACATCGTCAGTTAGATTGTCAAAAAGTCTTGGACACCCGTTTTTTCATTTGTCAACCAATCAAAATATTTTAAGGATAAAGCGCGTCGAAGTTTGGGAGTGGGGGTCTGTGACGTCACTTCAAAGTGAAAATTGTACCAAGACCTGACGTCAGGCGAAACTTCAAATCAAAATATCTGTGTAATGTTTTAATAACGTGAGCAAAGAACAAATACTTGCGCAATACTCTTTATAATCCAATACTACGAGAAGTCATCTTCCCTGTTCTAAACAAATGGATTCTTGCGATCGTTTTGAATGCAATATGTCAAATATTGGAGCTAAACTTCCAATTTATTTTAAGAGGCATGTAATAAGATTTGCATTAGGATTGCTTTTTCATTATGACAATGTGCACGGTGTTTGAACTTTGGAGCTCTGTTGTGTACAGAGAACGTTATCTTTTATGTTTTTATCGAAATTAAATATTGACAGTTTAGCAGTATGGAGGAGCTCGATGGCGCAGGTGGATAGCGCGTTCGGCTGCGATCGTTGAATTTAAGCAACTTTCGCAGTGGTCGGTCATTGGATGGGTGGCCAAAAATCTTTTATTTCGAGTTCCTCCGTGCTTCGGAAGGCACGTTAAGCCGTTGGTCCCGGCTGCATCTGCAGTCGTAAACTCCTACCAATCCGCACTGGGCCCGCGTTGTGGGTCATGGCCCAATCTCCCTATTCCATCCATGAAATTTTAACTTGGCAATCAGTCATCCTCACTAGGCCCGTGTGATAGATCATGACCTGACCTTCCTTTTCTATCTTATCCATGGGGAAAGCGCGTGATCTAACAGTTGATATATTGGGACTGTGGATGGCAAATTTGTACCAAGTGTTTTTTATTATTATTTCAATTATATTTCTACAGAGAGCTAAGTTTCTTCAACAACATTATTGTCATCAGCATTATCTAAATGTGCTTCTTTTTACAGATTATACTTTGGACGCCAGAACTGGCAAATGTTACAAGTTCCACCGTGTGCCAAGGACTTGGTCCCGTGCGTACATGAACTGTATGGCAGAAGGAGCACACTTAGCAATCATCAACTCCGATACCGAAGCCACAGTTCTCAAAGAGATATTTGGAAAGAATCCTGGTGGTTCGATGCTTGGTAACTTCTGGAAAGATGTAGCATTTATGGGTTTCCACGATTGGACAGAACACGGTGATTGGAGGACTATTGAAGGTAATATTTTTTTGTCTCACAATGGCTTTTTTAATGATATGTATTTTTTTTGCCAAATCAAACGTAATTTGGTTGGGATGTAAATATCAATTTGAAACGCTCGAACTTATCAGGCCACTGAAACAGTCAAAATCACCAGTGAAAGTTAATTGGGTTATTGTTGAAGTGGAATTGAATTAGATATTTTCGTCTTTGTTGTTTTAGTAAAACTCTTAGACCCAACTAAAACCAGTCCATTGTGCAGATCCCTAACTTTTAACAAAATTTTAGATAAAATGTGTGTAATAATAATAAAGTATTTACACCATGGGGCTTAAATTCTTGCTAAATGTAGATTTATAACAAAATAAGGTTTTAAAAAATATTGTTTGTGGTGGTACCAAAAAGGTACCAAAGACAAAATTGTTTCTGATACTTCAAGCAAATCTTTGCTTTGAATACTTTAAAATATTTGATGACTTCTATATCAGCATTAAATACTTATCTGTAGATAGATAAAATACATCTACGATATTTTTTTGAATTTAAAGTTTCTCATTTGTTTTTGTTTCAGGACAAACTCTGAAAGAAGCTGGTTACGACAAATTTTCTCCCGGTGAGCCAAACAACTCGACGACGGGAGAGTTCTGCGGTGCCATCTATAGAAGCGCTTTATTCGATGACCTATGGTGCGAGAACAGATACGCTTTCATATGCGAAAAGGATCCCGCCAGCCTGTCCTGTGACAATTTCTCTTGATTCTTGTAAATCTTGAAATAAAAAAAACGTTAGTACCTTCAATATAAATGGGAATTATGAATCTGTTTTGATTACGATGGTTCAACATCTACTTCTACCTGACCCGGCGAACCTCATAACATTATAGTTACTTTTTTGTTCGACTTTATTAAATTCTCATATTAGTAAACAAACCTTGTTCTGACAGTAACAAATACAAATTATAAATAATTGTCCAATTAAGCGCAGTCGTTTGGAAGTTATGTGTATATGTCACTAGCAATATGTATAATTCAAGTATTCTATAGGATACTTAGGCAATGTATATAATGCCTGGGGCATCTAGGCATTGCCTTAACATATAATAAAATGGTAGGAAATTCAAAACGGTACATTGAATATTTTTTAGAAGAATACTTGGGATGTGATCTACTGTCGATACCGAAGCCAAAAATATAGTTTTTAGAATTTTTGTCTGTTTCTCAAAAAGTACTCCATGGATTTTTTTCAAATTTGGCACGAATATTATTAAGAAGTCGGGTCAACATAAAGGCTACATATTATCACGCTATCACCTACGGGGAACGAGCAGTGAACCTTCATTTCTTCAACGCATTCTGTAACAACATGTAATCTAACGACGCATATGTGAATGTTGTTATTATGTTAAACATAATAGATAATTTTACAATTTACAGTCCGGGCGAAATGACCACCATAAGAAATGGCCATGTCGCTTTGTTCCCTTCAGAGCAAAAACAGATTTATGACACCGTCCTTGTAAGCGATGGGCAAAACCAGGGTAAAATGTTTTTCTTAGATGCTCCTGGTGGAACAGGAAAAATGTTTGTTACCACTGGCATACTTGCAGAGGTCAGGAGGCAAGGCAAAATTGTCATTGCTCTCTCTATATAGATGATGTAGAGGTGTACTAATTATGTATCTTTAGAAAGAAACCCCCTTTTGGGGTCAAAAATTATGTGCAAATAACTAACTCCACGCGTACGAAGTCGCGGGCGGCCACTAGTATGAAATATTATTTTCCATTTTAACTTTACCTAGGTAATGTATACAATGTCTAGATAGAGTACCTGCTGGGTCATCGAAGATGTGTAAAATAAACAGATTTTGGTCTGTATTTATCTTAACCATGGACTAATAATATCTTGCCAAAACCTAACCTGGCCTTACCCAGTTGGATATGAAATGACGGATGGAATTTATTATAATTCTCACCGAATGAACGACAGATTAATAAACGTCTGACCAACTCACAATGGGTTAGGTTTACTTAGTTTTTTGACCTGAGCCTAGCGAGCAAAGCGAGCGTGCCGTGGCAGGGGCCGGCGAAGCGCCAGCCACCTTATAGATAATAAATAAATTAAACGAGGATTTTTTTCTTTTTATAAGCAAATAACTCTACACCACCTGATGTTAAGTGGTGATAAAGTCCAAACGCGAAGATAACTGGAACACCAGTACCCTTAGTACGAGTTTGAGCTCACGAAAACTATCGTAGTTTTCGTAATTGTAAAACTCGTACTAAGGGTACTATTATAAACTGCCTCACCAATCACCCTCACCTAGCCGGCCAGCAAAAATGTTTCTTCACGCCTCTCTTAAAGGGCTCCAGATTGTTGAAAGGAACACGTGCGCGGGCAAAGAATTCCACTTATGAAAAACATCGACTCTCTATGTTCTTTTACACATATTGCCTGTATTTGGCATTGTGAATACCTGGGTAAAGTATACATTGAATAATATTTTACACATTGCCTGGACATTTCAGGCATTAATTCTATACATTGCCTAGATACCGGATTATATAAATTGCCAGTAACGCATACATACATTTCGGTTATTATTTTTTATTTATTAATATATATATAGAAGATAAATGTCCATGCATATGGGAAAGAGATTGCTTATCATATTGATATTATAAGGAATTTCAAATGCTTGATTTTAACTAACAACACAGTGAGGAATTATATCTAAAGATATTTAAATCTAAAGATAATTAAAAGTCTATCGTTATTGCATTTATTTCTCATTACGTGTCATAATGAAGATCAAATATAAAATAGTGGGTGTTTCTGATGTAACAAATAACGGTAAGTGCGCACTGCGCAATGAACGCATGTTACAGCCGGATATTGTTAGAAATCGCATATTATTATACAAGAACTGCTACTCAAATTAAAGAGCACTCTGGTGATTATAAACCTCTATCTTGTACAGAGTACCAAACGAAAACAAAACCACATTTAGGTTGTATTGCTTCTGTTGATGAGTGAGGTTCCAAGGTTCCACGATATAGGGGTTTGGTTGAGGCAGGGTAGGGAAAGTTAAAGCGGCACTACTTTCTCCTCCGAAATAGAATAAGGTATATACCTAAGTGTCGCCGCACACGGGCCACCGACCACAACCACAAAACGCCGCCACCGACATATTTCTTGTAGTTTTCATACATTTTATATGGACTCGCTAAACACGCAACGCAAACTGGCTACCCCACACGTTACAAATGGTCGTTGCTCGCTTCTTGTGGCCCGCACCGGCCACTTAATGTGCCGATATAAAACGCCGCCACACGTCACTCGCGCGATTCCCCACCCCTTCTCTCCCTTACCTTAGTCGGCCGCTGTCGCGAGCTTAAGCCACTTTAGTAGCCGCTTCTAGCTTCTCGTGGCGGCGTTTGTGGATGTGGCGTGTGGCCCTTATGCGGCGACAATTAGTCGGCCGCTGTCGCGCGCTTCAGCCACCTTAGTAGCCGCTTCTAACTTCTCGTGGCGGCGTTTGTGGCTTTAGCGTGTGGCCCGTGTGCGGCGACAATTAGTCGGCCGCTGTCGCGCGCTTCAGCCACCTTAGTAGCCGCTTCTAACTTCTCGTGGCGGCGTTTGTGGCTTTAGCGTGTGGCCCGTGTGCGGCGACAATTAGTCGGCCGCTGTCGCGTGCTTCAGCCACTTTAGTAGCCGCTTCTAGCTTCTCGTGGCGGCGTTTGTGGCTGTGGCGTGTGGCCCGTATGCGGCGACAATTAGTTGGCCGCTGTCGCGCGCTTCAGCCACTTTAGTAGCCGCTTCTAACTTCTCGTGGCGGCGTTTGTGGCTTTGGCGTGTGGCCCGTGTGCGGCAACAATTAGTCGGCCGCTGTCGCTCGCTTCAGCCACTTTAGTAGCCGCTTCTAGCTTCTCGTGGTGGCGATTGTGGCTGTGGCGTGTGGCCCGTGTGCGACGACACTATCACTCAGTTTTTACAAAAAACTAAAATATGAGTGTTAATGATTCAATCATTTTAATAATATAATGGCCCAGTCTTCGTTGTTACTATGCGGTCGATAATAATAGTATAATTTTTGTCATTTAGAGATGACAAATTTCAATCGACACATCTAACACTATTCTTTTTCTTTCTTTCTTTGTCGGTATCACTCTTGACAGAGTGGTCGTGGTCATCAATTCAGGTGTTGGTGGCAAGCTTCACAACACGCCGCCACTCATCTCTGATGGCCGCCACTATTAGGCACTAGCTATTACTAAGGTAATAATTATCTTTTGTTAATGTCGCGGTTGACCACCAGGACGGATCAATTAAATTGCTTTCTCTTAACGATTCTTGTCATTAAATTAATAGTCTAGAGATCATAAATAATATATCATTTCAACGACTTCAAATAATGACTTTCTACTCTTTAACGTTTATTTGGTCATATTAATGGAAATCCTTGTCTTTAAGGTCCATCATTGGGAAGTATTTCTTTTTTTATAAGAGGTGCAACATATTGCCTCCTGATGCCTGTATTAGTGAAGTTTAATTAGAAAGTGACACACTTTCAGCTCCTGCCATCCTCATCTTGCCGGCCTGAAGCCAATCAAACCAAACAAAAAAAAGGGCTGGAACCCTTTTTTTTATTACGCACGTAAAACCTCTATTTACAGACGTTGGCGCCCATAAGAGGCATACTAACGAACGGACCTCACACCTAGCCTCTCGCAAGTCTCACGGGTGCGAAACGGATAAGCCGTTAAGCAGTCCGCGCGGCTTACGAGCGCTTACGGCATACTATCCGCTAAAAACATCCTGCGAATGCCCTCTACGCTGTTTAAGTGCGGTACCGCGTGATCCCCGTTGAGGGACTTCACCGCGTCTCCGCATGCAACAGCCTCCCGGCCTAGCCGGGACTCCACGGCCGGGATCACCCGGGGTATTTCGGGAGATCCCGCTGACGTGCGCAGGACTGCCCGCGCTAGGAGCTAAGTGCGCGGTCTATTGCCCACCGCACCGCTCCCCGACCGCTGCGGAAGGGCTGCCTAGGTGTTGCCCTCGCAGGCCCTTTTTTTTTTTTGTGACGAGGGGAAATGCAGTTACGCACCATACCGTGACGCTGACTAGGCGCACGGCGTGTGTGGGACTCGCCGGCACGGGAAACAGTGGCGTCCCTACTCAAGCAGGACCAGTGCGGAAGGCCACACTGATCCTACTCCACTAAAACCCCCCGGTACCCTCCTACGCCCATATGGGGGCGTCTCAGGATCGACGCACCTTGGCGTGCGCCACTTCACTGGGACGCCCCCGGGCAGGCCCGGCCCAACGAGTGGACCGGGCGACGCGCCTCAGGGGGACTGCGCTAGGGTACTAGGCAGTCCCTCCCTCGCAGGCCCTACCGCGGAGCCCTGGAACCCTAATCACTAACTATTATAACTTTAATAACTTTAGGATGAGCAGTATGAGGAGCATAGCTAAAACCTATTAAGTTTTATTTATAACATAATTAGATAACCATTTTTAGTTTGCGTTCCCTAAAAAATGGTTGAGCGAAGCGATGGCTGGTTCATGCGTCATGCTCGCGAACGGGTGCTGCCGGCGGAGATGAGTCTGCTCTTGCTTCATTGGGTAGTATTAATCGTTGTACTAAACTTTGATCATTCTTTTTTTTTCCTAAACAGTAGGACACGGCTTTCCTAAACATTCCTAAACTTTGTTAAAGCGGTTTTTATATATTTTTTTTGTATAGTCATAATTTTTGTATTATTTGCATTTGTAAAGGAAAGTGACTTTATGAGTTACCTCACATTGAAGTCATTTTTAGGGTTCCGTACCTAAAAAGGAAAAAACGGAACCCTTATAGGA